TATGCTCAGGGTGTGGTGGCTCCTTGATCCTGGGCCTTAAACCCATATAAAAGTCTGGGTGCAGTGGCATGGACATATAATTCCAGAACTGGGTAGGTGGAGACAGCAAGATCCATGGAGACAGGGAGCTCCAGGGTTAGTGAGTGACCCTGTCCCCAAAGTAAGATGTAGGTAGGTAGGCATAATCGAAAAGACACCTAACACTGACCTTTGGCCTCTATGTGAATGTGCATGCATACATATACGTACACCTATAAGTATGCACAAAAAAATAAAACAAGAAAATAAATAATACTGGTTATAGAGGAAAAAAAATTGCTACCCTTGTTCATTGTAGAGCAGCTGTTCTCAACCTGGGGTTCGTGACTCCTTTGGGGGGGTGTCAAATGACCCATTTAAAGGAGTTGCCTAAGAGCATCAGAAAACACAGATATTTGCATTACGATTCATAACAGTAGAAAAATTACAGTTATAAAGTAGCAAGAGAAATAATTTTATGGTTGAGAACCACTGTTTCAGAGGGAAATGTAAATGTTATAATCACCGTGGAAGATAGTATAACCAGTTCCTCAAAAAATAAAAATGTAATGAACACATGATACAGCAGTTATATTTATGGATATATGCTCCAAAGAATGGGAAGCATGGGTCTCAAAAGGACATTTATATACCAAGTTGGGAAATCAGAATTCATAATAGTTAAAATATAGAAGTACCCTAAGTGTCCATAGCTGAATAGATCAACAGAATGTGATCTATGCACACAATGGGAGGAAATTCTAAGACATATTAAAACATGGAGGAAACTTCTGGAAATTATGCCAAGAGAAATAAGGCAATCACAAAAAGGCAAATAATACACAATTCCATTTATTTGAAATACTTAGAGTAGTCACAATCATAGAGACACAAGGTGGTATGGTGGGTGTTAGCAGCTAGGGGAGAGAATGGAGAGTTATCATTCAAGGCGTGGAGGGTTTGAGTTTTGGGAGATGAAAGAGAACTTCTGAATGCTGGTGCTTATGGTAGCACAAGAGTATCAATACACTTAATGTCACTAAACTTTAACTCTAAGATGGTAGTAATACTACATTATGATGTATATGTACATATATATATATATATATATATATATATATATATATATGTATGTATGTATCACCACAGCCTTTAAAACTGGGGAAAACCCCACATGATATCATGTAAGTAGTACTTCATAAGAAATCTGTAAAACTAAAAGCTAAAAAGTGAAATATTTATCCCATCTTAATTGTCAAAATAACAGAATAAATAAAGGAAATATAACAAAATGATGCAAAAAATTTAAGCTTTAAAAATTGCTTCATTAGAAATTAGGCTACACATACTCTGAAGGGCACAACACAGAATTGAATGGACCATTTTCTCTAGAAAAACAGAGCTCCACGGAAAATTCTATGAGCTAATAAAAATGTTATATAGTCTACTTGTTAACAAGATTAAATTTAAAATAGAACTCATCATATATTTTTCTATTTCCTAGTATGAAAGATTTTAGGACTAAAAAAGACCAAACTACCCAGTTCACCCAATCTATTTATTTACTTCCTATTGTTCTACTTGCTCAAGAGGGCAAGCAGCCATGATATGCAATGATTAATAACTGGCCCTCACGGTGGAGGGAGTGTTTGTGATTAAAAAAAAGCAACAAATGGCATCTTCTTATACCATTAAGATATTCTATCAAGAGTTAAAATGGTAGCCTCATCCTGCTGTTATCCTTAGCTGTCTCAAGAAAGACCCTCAGTCGGCTGCAAAATTTTACATTGGATTCTCAATTGTAAAGGGATTTTTAAAAAGCAAAGGAAATACAAAAACAATGTAGTGATGTATGGAAACTGTATGTAGTTGGGGAGTGACGGCAGTAGAGACCTGCCTCTCATATGCTAGCAAACAGACTTGAACTAAAGGATGAGTTTAAACAGACATGTGCTCTGTGAATCGGTGTCAGATAGAAACCCCAGCAATCAGGAACCAGTACAACACATTGGTGCATTGTGGCTTCTCCCCTAACACAACTGCACATTGGTGCATTGTGGCTTCTCCCCTAACACAACTGCACAGACTCTAAAGAGCATTTTCACCTTCACCATCCCGAGAAATCTACCCTTAGGCGGGGTAAGACGAACAGCAAGAGTGAGCTGGCCAAGGTGACACTGACAAATCATATACTTTTATTCATAAAACATGTCATCAACAAATTAATTTCAGACTAAGAGCTCACATTCCTAATCATAAGAAAATGGGTTTTCCGATGACCACGTGACAGGCGGCACATTATGACATCTTTCCGGTAATCTCCCTGAGGCTGGGACCTGCATCTTGCTCTAGGAGGCATCATTCACATTTAAGGAACTTGACAGAATAAACACAATTTTTACCTAAAAGATCTTAGGTTAATCTATTGGTCAGGCCAGAGAAGTGACTTTCCCTGCCATGGACCCATGACAAGTAAATTTATTTCCCACTACATCACTCAAAGAAGCCAGATGGCCTCCGACCCTTCCTTCTGCTCCTGCCTTCTCCAGGCAGCGGCTAATGACATTTGCTTTTAGTTGAGTGTCGGGAAAAAGACGGTTGTCTGCGTGTGTTGACACCAAACACCAAATTTCATTAACGAACAATGCTGGGAAAGTCTCCATGATTTATTTTTTTTTAAGGAAACTGTTTTCTTTTTTCCGGAGGGGGTTTATTTTCTATTTTCTGTTCATATATAGTTTGTGCTTCCAAGGCTGTCTGAACACAACTCTGTGAGGAACCGAGGTCTGCCAGGAGCTGGTTTTCACCGTTCTTTGCTGTGGAGGAAGGATGGCCGCATCCAGGTACCAGGCGGTCAAGTACCTTCTCTGGAGACAAGGGAAGCCAGATCTTTGTCTAGGTTTCTTGCTAACTACTTTTCTCCCTCTCTCCTTTCTTCCTTGCTAGTCTGACATTCCCTTTATTTCTTTTGTCGCACACACTATACAGATTTGGGCTCATTCAGTTAAGACTTTGCTAGTGGCTTCCCAGAATGTGGTCTTAAAAAAAGAGATGGATTAGATTTTTAATTTTCTATTAGAGAGCGCAAAATCAGCAGTGCTTTTAACACGCATTTTCATGGCTTAAAAAAAAAAAGCGCCACGTTGTTTTCTAAGCCATTCTCAAATCCCACTTAGACACCAGGCCTCTGCGTAAAGCCCCAAGGGATGGATTGGCATTGGAGAACCTGATGAACTCAACCATGAAAGCTTTCGCTTGAAAACTTGTGGTGAGCACTAGGCCTTTTGAAGCTTGCTAAGACAAAATGAGTAGGCTCTGAGAGTACTATCGTCTCTCACCAAAGCTAAGAACAAGAACTAAGCTGAAAAGACGTTTTAATTTTTTTTTTTTCCGTAGTCAGTCAGCTAAGCAGGAAGGAAGGGAGTCCGGCAGGAGAAAGGAATATAAGGGATTCCCTCGGAGACTTAAAAGATGCCTCATCTCTGGGTACCCAGGGGAGCCCTGGTCTCTGCGACGCCTTCCCAGAGCTGCCACTGCGGCGCACTGCGGAGCCCATCGCCTGCCAGCAGCCTCTGTCCTGCCTGGCTTTCCCTGCCGCCCCTGCCGCAGTCTATCCGCCCACCCCAGTCCCTCCAGTCTGCTGCTGCTGTCTGCACAGGGCGCGCCGCGGGGCATCCATCACCCGGGAGCCTTTGACGCACACGCGCGCGCTCCCAGACAGGCTGGGTCTCCTAGCCCTCCCTCCCGCCATGCCCGCCCCATCGCGGGGCAGCATTTACATCACGCCCACACGTAGAGGGTGACGCGACCGCCCCCCAACCCCCGCTCTCGTGGTCCAGGCGGTACCTCCAGAGCTGGTGACTCAGCTCCTCCCTCTCCGCCCCCGCGCGTGGCGCCTGAGGTTCCCGCACGCCCACAGAGATGTTCCTTGCATCTGCGGTGGGGTGCTAGCTGCCCCAGCCAAGTTCATCCCGGTATTCTATAATCTTCCCGGGCTGGTCAGAGGAGTCCCAGCCATGGGGGAGAAAGTATTCCCAATTCTAGAGCCGGTTCAGAGGGGGAAAAGAGAAGAAGATGGTGGGCTGTCGTCCCATTTCCTCTTGGCCTTAAATTATAGACCTCGGTAGAAGTAGTTGTTGCTGTCGTCGTCGTCATCATCATCATCATCATCATCATCATCATTTTTGCTGGGGAAGGCCCCTCTCCCAAGAACCCCACACTCTCAGATGCGCTTCGCTGCTCCAGGCGCAGAGGGAAAGCTCTATAGGGTTTTGCTGAATGGAGGTGCCGTGTAAGAAAAGTGTGGATTCTTACAAAGAGCTACAGCCCGCACGCTCCCCTGCTCTCAGCCTTTTGATGCGGGCGCACAGACGCTAGCTACTCGCAGGTCTGGGGAGGGTTTTGCGGAAGAGTTTGAAAATTCACGGGGTTTCTATTAGCCTCCCGTAGAGTCGACTGCGGCTGCTCATGCTTTCCCACCACCCGCACATCTGCAGAGGGATCCCCGCAGAAAAGTTGAACCAGAGGTTGCAGGGATGGCATAGTGATGGCGGGTGCTCCTGGCTGCCTGTTTTGAATAGTCTCCCCTGGCCATCCTGAAGCCCCCGCCCCCTGCCCCCAAGTAAAGAAGCCTGGAGACGCCTGCAGGAGCAACCCTGAACGCCTGAGGCTGCCCACCCACCTGCCCCGGAATCCCGAACATAGCGCGCCGCCGCACCTTTGACTTGCCCCAGCCCAGTAAACTGGGGTCATTCCATTGCCTCCGTGAGATTTCCCCCTTACCATTCCAACACAGGGGCTCAGTAGGCAGCCCTCCACACCCGCAGCCGCTTTCCCCGGGCCAGAGCGGGCAAAGTTGCGCTAGTTGCTCTTCTGCGAGGCTGCAAAAAGTTCCCTGGCTGCAACGCTCGCTCTCCCGGTCCAGAAGGGGATTCTAGCGGAGAGAGATCTCTCGCCAGTGTTGCGGGGGACTCCTTACTCACCGTTCCAGCCGTCGGGGACCCCCTGCCCTGAGCGGTGTCTGCACTGCAGCCGTCGCCGCGCGGGCACCCCTCCTCTTGCTGCCCGGGGCCGCCTCGGTCTGCCACTCTCTCCTGCAGCGCGCGCAGTGGTGACTCCTTTGAGTGAGTCGGCGGCGAGAGGAGGGGCGGGAAAGTGGCTCCGGGCTGCCACGCTGCGGTCCTCCTCCGCCTCCTCCTCCCCTTGGTGCTGCAGTGGCGGGCGGCGGCGTGGCGAGAGTACAAGCGATGAGCAGGGAGGGAGTTACTGCGCGCGGGGGAGGAGGGCGCTGTGCAAGGCTGGGCGAGCTCCCGGGGTGATGCAAAAGCGCCGCTGAGGTGCGGGTCCCGGGAAGGGGGTGCGTTGGTAGGGCTGGCTCCAAGGGGCAGGTACTTTTGGAGAAGTCAGGTCTCAGTTTGTAGCCCAGGAAAAGAGAAAAGCGCCAGTGCTGAATTAGTCACCGGGTGTGACTGTGCCTTGCGCACTTGGCCGCCCTTTGGGCCGGGTCCGCAAGGCACAAAGAAATTGTTGATTGCTGGAGGCCAATGCCCAGGGATGGAGGCTTTTGGTCGGTTTCCGGGCCTGGAACTGGTTAATTTTGACTTGGCTTTGGGTAAGTCAGTAGGCAGGAGTAGCTGATCATTTCCATATCTCAATCCCCATGCTGGCACACAAGTCTAGAGAAAACTTGGGGCACAGTGGAAGCAACTTCACGCGCGGTGTGTGTGTGTGTGTGTGTGTGTGTGTGTGTGTGTGTGTGTGTGTGTGTGGTGGTGTGCGTGTGCGTACGTGTGTGTGTGTGTGTGTGTGTGTGTGTGTGTCCCCAAATCAGAGAGGGCCAGGCGGCAGGCGGGACTAGGGGCACTGCTTAACATTTTAAAAAGAAAGAAAAAGAAAGCCGTGAGAATATTGCTGTGTTCCCAGGAACGCCTTTTCCTGTAGAGGATGAGAAACCTCAACCTCAGCCTCACCTAAGCTCTTGGGCTGGACTACCAACTGAAATTCACCCTGAGAGGCCACACCCAAGCACTTGGCAGGGCAGGGTGTCGCCCTCCTGTCACCCAACCGACCACCGGATGGGACGCAGTGGGAAGCGGGGGGGGGGGGGGGCGGGGGGCATCCGCATGTAGTAAACCCTGTCGTCTCTGCGCTCACATGGAACTCCTGTGGTTTGGAAGGGCCCCACAGGCTGGTGCTCACCGCGAAATCATTACTCTTGTAATGGTGACTTGTAATGGAGCGAGACAAAGCGCCAGTGGAGGCTGCAATGGGTGGAACTCACATGCACGCTCTCTCCCGCAATGTGCTCCATGCGAGTAAATAGCCTGCGCGTTTCAATGGGTGGGTAAAGGCTTGGCCGTGCAGATACATATGTAAACATTGCACGTAAATGTGCTGGAGACGAAGAGCAGTCAAGCTTTGCGGAGAGCCATGGAAAGCTGGCGGCGACCACGTGGCCCGCCAGTGACAGTGAAGTAACTCCAGTTTGCTGAGCTACATGTGTGCCACTATTCAGGATGCAATGAAGAGGGGACAATGTAGCCAGCCCTCACCTTCTGGCTGACTCTCCTTACAGCTCTGGCATTCTGAGACTTGGGGTGCGCAGTCCCCGTCTAGCCTACACTTTTTTGGGTGGTCTTTGAAAAACGTGTCTGGCTCTTGTTTTGGTTAAATGCTTTGCTGTTTGCCACCGCTTACCGTGGAGATGAATGGATCGCATAAACATTCACGTACTCACTTGGACATCCTTTCCTGTGCATTCTTACTTAATAAATTAAATAACGGTTTGAGCTAAAATGTTTGTGTAAGGATATATATGCCCCTACAGGAGTGCCCCAGCATCAGTGTGGAAAGGAATGTGAAATTTTAAAAATGTTAATCTTATCTGGAGCCTGTATGTGTCACTGCAAAATGAACTGTTCATTCATTCATTCGGTGCCCTAATGGATACCTCTTTGAGGACTTGCCCCTAGTTCTTGTTGCAGAGTAATTCATTATTTCTCCAAGTGAAAGAAGAATAGAAAACTGTGAAGTGACCCTTAGAAAAATGGTCAACATGCTTCCTGTTGTGCTCTCTCTTACTTAAATCAATGCCTGTGTGGTCCATGGATCTGTCAGGGTGAATAGGCTTTCCAGCTCTAGATTTTCATGTCTTGCTGCACTCGAAGATAACAGCTCCTGCAGTCCCTACCCTACACAGAGCTGAGCTATAAATGGCATTTAAAGGTTGTGTCTTTGAAACGCAGGGAAGGATTTTCTATGTGATGATGAACCTCCCCTGGGAAAGCAGCTCTGATTGGTCCTGCCTGGCACACCACTTGGGGCCAACGCTCTCACATGTTAGTATCATCCACATTTTCTTTCTTCTAAAAACATTTGTCTCGTAGGAGCGGATGCAGGTAAGGATGTATATCTTTATCTTCCCTGTATCCACAAAACCTCAGTGCTTCTCGAAGTCACTACCTTCCTGCCAAATGGGAAATCTCATTCTTCAACATAGTGTCTTTTTGTGATGTTAAAAAGCACGCCTTCCCAAGGAGCATGAAGGATCAGTCCTTGCATCTGCAAACTGTTTCACTTCAAAAAAAAAAAAAAGAAAAAAAAAAGAAAAAGAAAAAAAGAAAGAAAAAGAAAATACAGGTGCTGTAGTTTTGTTTTGTTTTAAGTACACACAAGAACCACAGTGCCTAGCATACAATGGCCACAGAACAAGGATTATTCATATTTTTTTAAATAGGGGAAAATTTCCCAAAGGCTCCTATATGATGCTTCCTGAAAGCTCAGAATAGCATCCAGCTTCCATGACAGGGATCTAGAGAGAACCTCTTACTTTTGAACCACAAGTTCCACACCTCTCCAGTTCTTTTTCTCTGCCATCAGATATATAGCCTCATATATCTAGCTACAGACAAATCCTCTTCCTGCTCAGCACTCTTTCCCAAGTTGCTTACCAATGCCTGTGTCATCAAACCCTTAATGGCCATTCATATCCATTACCACAAACAGCCCCAGAATCACAAGTGCAATTAGCATCTACATTCTGACCCCCACCCTCTGTCCCTTCCTCCCTATCCAGCCCCTGAAGCCCTTTGGCTGTGCCTTCTAACTATAAATGGCTGAAACAATCTACTCTTCCCTTATCATTCTAATGATATTTCCCACTCTCCTCTTATTAGATTATAATGTTTCAAAAACTCTGTTTGAACCAAGACTCAAACAAGACCCCATACACTGCATCTGATTGAAAGTCTCCAAATCTCGGTTTTCTTTTATTTCATTTTTTCACTTGCGATTTACTTGTGTTGGAGAAAGCATCTGTCCTGTGTTTTTGTTTTGTTTTTGTTTTGGTAGCCCGATCGTGTGCTTATTACATCTGCTCTGGGATTTCCTATTCTCCACAACATAGATCTAAAAGCTTATTTGTAATCAGATGTTTCCTGACCCCACCACCCAGTCCCAAATAAATGCACAGAGGCTTATATGAATTATAAATGCTCAGCCAATAGTTCAGGCTTGTTATTAACTAGCTCTTACATTTTAAGTTAACCCATATTCCTTATTTATGCTCTGCCACGTGGCAGTACCTTTGTTGGCATGGCACACTCATCTCCTGCTCCCTCTGTGTCTGGCTAGCATCTCCTGACTCCACCCTTCTCCTTCTCATCATCCTTAGTTTGGTGGCCCCGCCTATACTTCCTGCTGGCTACTGGCCAATCAGCATTTTACTAAGCCAATTTGAATGACAAATATTTACAGTGTACAGGAGGATTATTTCACAGCACTTACATTTTTTTTTGACAAAACTAATACATAGAGGCATGTACTATTTCTATGTATCTTATTGCATGTTTTTAAAAAAATGGTTATTGGTAATTACTGCTGTCATTACACTATTTCTTTGAGTTTTGTTAAATAATAATATTCTAATGATCATTTCTCAAACACCTATCCTCCTCTTCTTTTAAGATATGCTTGAGTGTTGGATATGGTGGTGCACACCTTTAATCTCAGCACTTGGGAGGCAGAGGCAGGTGGCTGTCTGTGATTTAGAGGCCAGCCTGGTCTACAGAGCAAGTTCAAGCCCTACTAGGTCTACATAGTGAGACTCTGTGTCAAAAATAAACAAAAACCGGGAAAGCAATATGGTTGGTCACATTTTCGAGAGTTAGAGGGATAGAAGGCAAAATCCAGGACTTGAACAAACAATCGAATCTGACAGAGGAAGCACTGCCCACCTCTCACCATAAACAACTCAGCTTTCGGTCACTATAACAAAATGCTCAGGACCATCACCTGCTGAAGAGAAAACATTGATTTGCCTCACAGCTTTGGAGGTTCCAGCTGCCCTGGCTTTGGGCCCGTAGCAAGGCAACACACCACAGTGGAAGCGGGAGGTGGAGTAAAGGCACTTACCTCACTTGACCCAGGGAGCAGAGTGAACAAGGCAGAGTCCAGGGCCCTTCCGTCCATTCTCCGCCACCCGGTGACTTCTCACTCGGTCCATCTTTTACAGATGCCATCACCTTCCAATAGTACTGCCCTCTAGAACAATCCTTTAACATGTGGGCCTTTGAGAGACATGCAAATTCCAAACAATGGGACTCGCCAAAGGCTTATGCTATGAGTACAAGGGAAAGCAGAGATAACTCTCACTACCATCCATTGCAGAGGACTGCTGAACATGTTGCTTTAAGTTGAGTAAGTCAAGAGAATGTAGACACAGAGTGGGGATAAAACACACTTATTTAAGAAATCTTAGGTGAATACACGATGTAGATATGTGTATCCCCAAACTCTGTTATTTTGCGTAACTGATTAAAATAAATGCAAAACTATGACACCAGTTTAATATATGGCTAGTAGGCATGTACATTGCATTCTTTGGTAGTAACGGATAGAAATCCTTTCTGGAGGCATCCTCTTATGTTCTAGAAACCAAAAATTACCCACAAGTAAGTTTTTAATAAAAGATAACAATGAACACACGATACCAGACTAGTTACTAGCTACTAGCACTAGTTACAGAAAAGAAGAATCTATAATCTAGAAGACATTGAGGACACTGGTCACACATCTTCCATTACCTGAAGAAAAAAAAATGGTTAAAAGCACTTACAGGGAATAGGAAACTGTTAGGAATGATCAATCGCATTTGAAGAGACATGCGACCTCTGTCAGCCTCTACCGTTTGTCCTCCCAACACCCATCCGAGTTTCCACACATATAAACACACCCTCCACTTTCCTGGTTGTGTTGAGGGATTCTCCATCCTTTAAAAATGTGGTCTCCTTTATTTGACA